TAACACACACACACACTCCCTCTCTCACACACACACACACTCACTCACTCTCTCCCTCACACACACACTCACTCACTCTCTCCCTCACACACACACATCACTCTCTCACTCACACACTCATTCGCACACACTCACTCACACACTCACTCACACACTCATTCACACACACACTCTCTCACACACTCTCTCTCACACACTCTCTCACACACACTCTCTCTCACTCACTCACACACTCTTTCACTCACTCACACACTCTCACTCACTCACACACACTCTCACTCACTCACACACTCTCTCTCTCTAACACACACACACACTCACTCTCTCACACACACACACACTCACTCACTCTCTCCCTCACTCACTCACTCACACACACACACGCTCTCTCACACACACACACGCTCTCTCACACTCACACACGCTCTCTCTCACTCACACACGCTCTCTCTCTCAAAGACTTATTTAATTGATTGTACTTTCTCCTCGTTACCTCACCGTGACTCAACGGGTCAAAGTTCAGCCGGCTGTTTCATGCATGTTATTTTAGCATCATTCAGATACTGTTATAGTTCTTATTAATAGTCTGAGTTTGTTTTTTTAAGGTTTTCTGTTTTCCTTTTAATTCTAGTTAAAGGTTTTGTAATTTTTTTAAAACCTAGTTTAAACCTTCGTTTTTTTTAATACATTTTTTCGTTTTTATTTGTATATTTTATATTTGTCTTCATTTTAAATTTTTAGTAGTTTTTGGTAATTTATTAGTTTTTTTTAAAATATACATACATGTACTAATATATGTGTATATATATATAACCATAACCGTAAAAGTAAATGCAAGAGAGATGTTGCCTTGGCAAATAGTTGAATTAAAAGAACTTTTTTGAATTAAGATAAGTACTTAAAACATTTTTTTACAAACTTAAAATATTAAATGCTAAATTAGTTTTTTAAAATAATTATCTTTGTCAAATTTTCCATTTGTATTTTAGCTTAAGATTTTTAGTATTTATTTTTGTCTTTTGTTATTAATTCATTGTTTGTTTGTTTTTCATGTCCATATAATTTGTATTGTTTTCATTTTTATTTGTAGTTTATTTTAGTGCATTAAACTGAATGAAAATAAGAAATGTTGCCTTGGTTAATAGCTGAAATAGATTTTGTTTTTTTTGTATATTTTTGTCGTTTTTTTTTTTATTAGTTTTTAATTAGTTGAGGTTTTTGTCGTTAGTTTTTATTTCAGTTTGTTTATTTTGCTACATCAAATAAAACAAACCTAGATTCTAAATATTTTTAAAAACCCTAATCTATGTATTTTGTTTCCATTTTAATTCTACTAAAAGTTCTTGTTGTTGTCTTTAGTTACAGTGCCCATCATTTACATGAACATTTGCATATTTCCTCAGGCTGAAGAGTGGCAAAGCGCTGGAGAAGGCGGCAGCTATCAGTGAAGTCAAGAAGAACATTCACCTCATCAGAGCTCCACACGCAGGTAAACCCCGCTGCTCCGACGTAACCTCACCCAAACCCGTCCCAGAATTCCCTGTTCTCACGTCTGACGTCTCTCTTCAGGTCAAGCCAAACAGCTGGAGGACAAGATGGTCCAGAAGCTGGCAGAAGACGTGGAGATGGACGAGTGACGCGAAGAAACCGCTGCTCATTTGGACTTTCACAATGTTTCTGCTTTAACATGTTGAGAATTAAAGATGTGGCCGCTCCTGATCTGCATAAACATGAATATCGATCAGAATCCAGCAGGTTCTCCAGGATTAATCCACTTTAAAACTTCCTTCCTGTCGCTCTAGCGGCTGAATATTAAGTGTTGTGATAACTATCCATCCACCTCAGTATGTACATGACCTTTATGGACTTTGAGCAAAATACAATCCTAATAAAAAAAGTTTCTGATCATTTTGAAAATGTGATATTTTTCATGTTTCTAAAGGCCTAGCTGCCACATATGCAGATTTGCATTGAAATGTGAAAAATATCCGTAATAAAACATTAAATATCAAATAAAAACTTTAACCAAAAAATTAAATATAGTGCTTGTTTATATTTTATTAAATGCATTGTGTTTTTAAATGTTTTTAAACACTCACTCACACACACACACACACTCTCACACACACACACACACACACACACTCTCACACGCACACTCACGCACACACACGCACACACACACACACACACTATTAAATTGCATTCATTACTTAAAATTAAAATATATAAGGTACCAAATTAGATTGATTTTTTGTTGTTGTAAATTTAGCATTTTGTTGACAAGATAAAACGTATACAAATAATTTTTTTTTTTTTTAATATGCATTTATACACAATTTTAGTAACAGTCCAAAACAAATGCAACCATAATTCACAAAATAACTAAAATACAAATAAGACAATCACACGTTATAAAATGGTTCTTATTTAATGGTTCCAGTTAATGAATGCATAATGTCAGTATGTAGAAATGAAATTGAGTTGTATATTCTGACACCTGAGGGGAAGCAAAACTCTGAAAACCAAAACCTGATTTTAGACTAAAACGGAAATTAAAACGAAACATGTGACACTTAAGAACATCTTAAAACAGTTTTGTTTTTTTGCCATAATTTACAGACGGCTTTGTCAGTGAACTCAGAAAGTAATGTAAACACTGCACTAGAAAACACATATCGCACCGCTGCGTATTCAATACTGTGAGATCCTCAGAAAAAAGAAATTGATATGAACCGTTATGGATGGCTGCGTTATTCGTGTGTATAAAAAATGTTTTCATTGTAAGGCACTATACAGTATACAGTACAGTCAAACCAAAAATATCACAGTTTAGAAAATGCTAATAAAATATGAGAAGCACTCAGAGTTAAACCGTGTCAGAACAAACTCATCTTGATAATGTCTGATAACTTTGATAGAAAGCTATGGAATGAATTCGGTTGAATAGCTGTCAGCTGTTAAATTCAGGCACACGATTAGATAAAACCAACTTAGCTCAACTAAACTCACTAGTATAATGATATCAGGTGTCTGAATAATGTTTGGTTTGACCGTACATATAAAATATTTCTGAATCCTTCAGTTCAGTGTACCTTGATTCCTTTACAAACACACTCTCTCTCTCTCTCTCTCACTCTCTCACACACACACACACTCACACACTCTCTCACACACACACACACACACACTCTCACACACACTCACTCGCACACACACACACACACACACACACACACACGCACACACACACACACACACACTCTCTCTCACACACACACACTCTCTCTCTCTCTCTCTCTCACACACAAACACACACACACACACACACA